TTCCTGCTGTTTATTTTCCATACAGCTCTACACCAATCAGCAAATTTACCCACTGTGTAAGACCCTTTTGTGTCTATGAAACAAATAAATATCTTCCTTCTGTGAGATGATCCTCATGTCAATAACTAGGCATGTGTAGATCCTGGTAAACCTCAGGTTCATTTTTTTTTTTTGGTGGCCAGGAACTGCACATCATGAAAATGTTTGCACCTTTGTTTCTCAGCCCTTCCCGCTCTCTTCAAAGAAGAATTAAGAAACGAGGAAGCCACAGAGGGTGAAGTGGTCACTCTGCGCTGTGAGCTGACCAAAGCCGCTTCAGTGGAGTGGAAAAAAGGACACACAGTACTCAAACCTAGCGAGAAATACAAAATGAGGCAGAAGGATGTCACTGCAGAACTGGTGATCCATAATCTAAATGAGAGTGATGCTGGTGACTATACCTGCGTGTGTGGGGATAAGCAGTCCACAGCTTCCTTAGCAGTACACGGTAATAACCGATTTCGTCTAGATGTCCTCGTTATGGAGCTTATGGTTTGAATTCATTTTTTTTCTCCATGTTTATTGTTATCTCTGAGTTATTCTGTTATTATCTGTTAATATCTCTGTTATTCCTGAGTCTGAGTTTGCCCGTTATAGTCATGGGAATTAATTTGCATTTTGTGATTTAAGGGGAAAAGCCTCCATCCCATTTCCTAACACAAAAGTGTTTTTAGGGACCTGATTCCTAAGGCAGACGTGAGGTCAGACCCAAAGACAGCTTCCCTGTGACATACTCGCCTTTCCTTCCCCCCGCCGTGCCCTTTCCCCAGGAGGATGTGTTTGCTGCTCCAATTTAACCCTGTGTCCGTTGCGTCCTCAGCGCTGCCCGCACGCATCAAGGAAGGCCTGAAGGAGGAGGAGGTGACAGAAGGTCAAGCAGCCACCCTGCGCTGCGAGCTGACCAAGGTTGCTCAAGTAGAGTGGAGGAAGGGAAGCAGTGTGCTCAAAGTCAGCGACAAATACAAAATGAGACAGGAAGGCACAGTCGTGAAGCTGCTTATCCACGACGCAGAATTGAAAGATGCTGGAGAATACACTTGTGTGTGTGGAGAACAGGAGACAACAGCTGCCTTGATAGTGCATGGTAAAAACCATATACATATATCTGTATTATTGTGTATTTCTACGTCAGTCCATCTCTATTGTTTGGTGTTCACCTATGGCTGAATTTGTTTCTTTAAATTTGTAAGCTGTCTCCAAGATCTGGTTGCACCCAGGCTGCTTTTGTGTTCCTGTCTATTGATTTGTCCGAAGTCCCAGAATTATGAGGAAAGGAAGCTCTTTCCACCCTAAAATGTCTCTCTGCTTCTGTACTACCCCATCCCTCCCTTCACCTGTGTACCACCTGTCATTTTTAATGTCCTCTGTCCGTTTTGTGACCTTCAGCCCTGCCTGCACTTTTCAAAGAAGAACTGAAGGACTTGCAAGCCGTGGAAAGCCAAACAGCCACTCTGCGCTGTGAGCTGACCAAGGCTGCAGCTGTGTCATGGAAGAAAGGACACAAAATACTCAGGGCAAGTGAAAAATACATCATGCGACAGGATAATGTCCTTGCTGAGCTGGAAATTTGTGATCTAGAGCTGCAGGATGCGGGAGATTACACCTGTGTGTGTGGAGACCAGCACACCACGGCTTCTCTGACAGTGAATGGTAAATTCGTCTCGCAGATGACTGTTCATTTTTTTTTGTTTGTTTCTCTGAAATATTCTGTTGCTGTACGAAGTGTTCACTTGTCAGCTTTTTCCGAGGAATTAGTGTTCGGGAAAGGAGAACTTCTTGTTCTGACACTTAATTTTGGTCTCATATTCCTGAAAAAGGGAGCTGAGGCCATGACTATTTCTCCATGCAGACAAGCTGCTATGTTGTAAGTTTGAGGGAATAGTGCCTAGGAAGTGCTCCTGGTAGACCAGCTGAGATGTCCTGCCCCCATGGAGGGTGGCCCTGTGATAAACTCTTTAGATTGCATCTTGAATCCATCCAGCCTGTTCTACTTTGACCTGTCAGCTCAGCACTTCTTTTCTTACTGTCGCTGCTGGATTTAGTTTTCCAGATCATCATAGTGATAACCTCAACCTCAGCCTCAGTGGCCAAAGTCCCTGACTTGGCCGGATTTGAACTTCAGTTGAGGTTTCATGATGCTGATCTCGAATGCAGAGGTGTTAGCTTAAATACACTATCTATTGACTTTCCATTCCCAGCCCTGCCGGTGCTTTTCAAGGAAGAACTGAAGGATGAAGAAGTCCAGGAAGGAGCATCAGTCTCTCTGCGATGTGAATTAACCAAAGCAGCTCCAGTGCAGTGGAAAATAGGGTCCAAAGTGCTCAAAGCAAGTGACAAATATCAAATGAGACAGCCTGGCACCACTGCAGAGCTGGTCATTCATGACCTAGAAGTAAAAGATGCTGGAGATTATACGTGCGTTTGTGGTGACCAGAAGACAACAGCAACTTTAACAGTTCATGGTAAAAAGACCTTATTAAAATTAATAAATAGTTCTATAGATAGACATCACTCTGAAATTCATCTCTTTCTGCCCTGGGTCAATAGCTTGTCCTTGTTTTTTCCCCTTTCTCTTCATTCTATGTATAGCTCATTTCTTACAGAGAAAGACTACCTCAGGGCAAATTTTTGGGTCATTATTAACCTTCCCTCCATTTAAAAGGAGAAAATTAGATGTTTCTTCTGTCTTAGTCCCCTCTTCTTGGACATTTACATTTTCCAGCTCTTCCCCTCACCCACACCCCCACACTTCCCTTCAGCCAACCACAGTTTTCTTCAAAACACACATGTACGGTCTGTCAGGCCCTCTGCTCTCCAGGCACTGCTCAAAGGACACCTGAGGGTTGGGGCAGCAGAAGGAGGAGGCGATGTCGCTCTGCTGGGTGACTTAGCCACAGCTGCTCCTGGGGGTACCAGATACTTTAAGTAAGTCAGCTTGGAGAAGGCAAGGCTCTGGGGAGATCTTATAGTGACCTTCCAGTACCCGAAGGGGGCCTACAGGAGAGCTGAGGAGGGACTTTTTACGAGGTCATGTAGTGATAGGACGAGGCGGAATGGCTTCAGACTGGAAGAGGGGAGATTTAGATGAGATATCAGGAAGAAATTTTTCACTCTGAGGGTGGTGAGGCACTGGCGCAGGTTGCCCAGAGAAGCTGTGGCTGCCCCATCCCTGGAGGTGTTCAAGGCCAGGTTGGACGGGGCTTGGAGCATCCTGGGCTGGTGGGAGGTGTCCCTGCCCATGGCAGGGGGGGTGGGACTTGATGATCTTCAAGGTCCCTTCCAACCCAAACCGTTCTATGAGTCTATGAGTTGAGTTACCATTTCAGAGCTTGCTACCTCTAACTGAGGTCTGAAGGATGCAGGGGTCAACACCTCTGTGTGTGGGGATCAAGACTACTTGGACACTTAGGTATCAAAAAAAACCCCTCAACAACACAGGTTATCAGCAGTTATACTTTTCTGTCTCCTGCTAGCTCCTAATAAACCAACCCAGAAATAAATCCTTGTATTATGTTAATGATCTCATCACTTGTTGTTCTGCTCTCCTCTCATTAATGAGTATCCATTTTAATGGAGTATCAGACCTTGGCTCTGAGAAACTGACTTGGTCAAAGAGACCCAGTTCTGTCCGCTCCAGCATTTTTCCAAAAATTTCTGGCTTCCCTCAGGCATGCTTTTTCTGAGGCATCTGGGGAGTAGTTTATATTCTGTACCCACTGACAGTAGCTGTGCACAAGGCACATTTGTGTTGATAGTATTTCTGTAGGTTGTTCTGTCGTTGGGTTATGATTTGCAAAATGGGGAATAGTAAGAATCTGAAATTCTTACTTCATGTAGTGGCCTTTCAAACTTCAATTTAAAACCAGAGGTAGCTTTATATTGAAATCCGGCTGCTTTGATGTAGATGGGGCTACAAGTTTTTAGTAAAAACAAAACAGAAAATAACAATACCGGTGTCCAAGCAATCATACCCGTGTAGGTAAAATAGTACTGTATCCAGTGGTGTTGTCTTTGAGTGCTGTTGACCCAAGATCTGCATCTTTCTGTACTGTTCTTTCACCATAAAAAAACAATAGACGCCCGGGGAACTCATCCCTTATGGTAAGTGAAACCACATCACGCTTGAAGAAGGATGCTCTCAGCGTTTCTGAACTTGGCTGTAGGTGAGCGTGGTTATGATAGGCTGAAAAAGGGAGGCAGGAGGGGGAATAATCCCAAGCGTGAGAAGGAAATTAGGATTTTAATTCTGGTTTTCTGATGATCATTTGTCCATGTTGCATCCTTCAGCTCTGCCACCGCTCTTTAAGGAAGAGCTAAAGAACAAGGCAGCAGAAGAAGGTGGAGAAGTCGCCCTGCACTGTGAGCTCACCAAGGCTGCTCCGGTGGAGTGGTGGAAGGACCAGAGGATTCTCCAACCGAGTGAGAAATACAAAATGAGGCAGGAAGGGACCAAGGCAGAGCTGGTGATTCGTGAAATAACTGAGGAGGATGCAGGAGACTACACCTGTGTGTGTGGAGAGCACCAGACTACAGCTGTCTTAACAGTACAGGGTAAAAATCATCTTGACCTCCTATTTCCTAACTGGAAACGTCTGTCCTCTGCTCTAAAGTGTCTTCCACGTCTAGTCTGTTTGTTCAACCTTATTAACTGAATTTCCATTTGTTTGAAAGTATTCCCTGCCTTTGATCACCTGCAGGCTGTGTATATTGGAAAATACCTGTCTGCATTTTTCTGTGCCATCCTTTTGCCTTTTCCGTTCCTTAAACACAACCCTCCTGTCCTCCCATCTTTCCCTTCTGGCATTCCTTTCCCAGCATATACACCCACTACTTTTTTGTCTTCCCTTTCCTGCATTTATTCTCTAAACCCCAAATCTCTTTATTCTTTGCCGTTCCTTTCCTGCACTCCCAATACTTACCATTTTAATATAGTATAGGGTATAAAAAATAGTGTCCAGAACAAGGCTGTTATGATTTCTTCTGTGCTGGGTTATGTTTATATTGGGTTTTGGGCCCATAACCTCTGTCCTAATGCACAAAGACAGATTTGCACTGGGAGACTGATATTCTAAGCAGGAAAGAATAAATTCTTTCTGTGACCTCCTCCTGCTCTTATTTTGTTGCAAGAACCAGTTGCTGTGCAAACAAAACTGGTGTTTCAGCTTTACAGGGCTGGACATGGGACATGTGCCAAATCAAAGGTGCCAAACCTGTTTCCCAACCCGGATATTTTAAGTTAGCTGCACTACTATGGAGCGAGATGCTCAGTTTGAGATCTGAGGTCTCCAGCCTTGTTAAACAGCTGGAATATCCCATTATCCCACTTAGTTAATAGAGGGACGTGTATTAAGGTCACCCGATTTATTTCAAGGACGCAACTTGCAATGGGTACTAGAATTATGTTAAGTGGGCAAAATATGTTCTGAGACAGGAAGGCAGGCTGGGAATCAGCGTCTGGAAATTTTCTTTGGAGTCAAGAAGAATCTGTGAGCCCTGGCTGCATCTTTTCAAGGGTGTCTCAAGGCAGAAGGAATGATGATGAGTAAGGAGTTGTGCCAACGCTCAGAGCTCAGCAGGGCGGCTCTGTAAGGAGGAAAAGAGAGTACAAAGGCCTGAAGTTCGTGGAAGGCATCAACATATGGGTGAATTAAAGAGCTCAGAGACTGCATTCTTAGTTCTTCTTACATGGAAACTAGTAGAAAGCAGGTGTAAGTCTCTCGAGGACAGTGCATTTTTGCTAGTAGGAAGCCAGCATAAACCCAAACATTTAGGATATATATTTCCTCTAGGATGTCTTCATTTCTCTTTCCTCTCTTTGTTGCTGATGCTCGCCCTTCCGTAACCTTCACACCTTTCCCCTGTCACTTCCTACTCTCACCCATCCTTGGCGATATCTTCAGTTTGTAATACTTTTTACCTGCATCCTTCAGCTGTGCCTCCATTTTTCCAAGAAGAAATGACCAGCAAGGAAGCAGTGGAAGGTGGAACGGCCACTTTGCACTGTGAGCTCAGCAAGCCATCTGCCCACGTTCAGTGGAAGAAGGGCCATCACGTCCTCACCTCGGACAACAAGTACAGCCTGAGACAGGAAGGCTGTGTTGTGGAGCTGGTAGTTCAAAATTTAGACTTGAATGATGCTGGAGATTATACCTGTGTGTGTGGAGACAAGACCACCACAGCTGCCCTAACAGTGCATGGTAAAGTAATCCTTGGGACTAAGGTCCTCCAAACCTTAGACCTGCCCCAGTCTCTGTCGCTATGGTCTGTTCCCATTCCCTTTCCGTTTGCTTGGGTTTTTGTGTTCCCTTGGAATCTGCTCATGATCTTCTTCCTTCTGTTAGAACTCAGAAAAGAGCTCCCTGTTGGTGTTTGTCCTCCTCAGCTGTGCTGGTCCTTCTCACTTTCCTTGCCCTGACGCAGAGTCCAGGGAAGTCAGGGAAGATTTTTCCTTTGTGTTCCACTGACCTGGATCAGGGCTCCGTAGCGTACCATGCATCCTCTCCCCCAGGACCTCCCCTTGCTGCTTTTTTTAGGAATATTCACTCTCTCTGTGGTAATTCTTTTACTCTTCAGCGCTGCCTCCAGAATTCAAAAAAGACCTGAAGGACCTAGAAGCTGTAGAAAGTGGGACAGCTACTCTCTGCTGCGAGCTGACTAAACCCGCTGTGGTGGAGTGGAAGAAAGGGCAGGAGTTGCTCAAAGCAAGCAGCAAATATAAAATGAGGCAAGACGGTGCTGTTGCAAAGCTGATTATCCACGACCTGGATGTGGAGGACACTGGAGATTACACCTGCATGTGTGGAGACCAGCAGACAACTGCCACTTTGACAGTCAATGGTAAAAAAAAAATTGAAAAACATTAAAAAGAGAAGGGAAAAGGTTATAATATATTCTGAAAATAAAAGCTGTCTGTTAGTGTCACTTTATGGAGAAGACTTGGCTCTGATTCCCAAGGAAGGTGGCATGATAGCATCGTCTATACAGCCTAGCAGAGTGACCGGGTAGAAAAAGGAGATTGCAATACAGAACTAAACGCATTCTGTCAGTATGTTACTTTCAGAATAATTATACTCTCTCCTGCAAGTTGCCTGCCTGAAGAGGGAATCTGAACCCTTACCACTCCCTGCTGACCTTCAGAATATCTCCTCCAGGATCAGGGCAACGTGTTGGCTACTTTTGTAGTAGGAAAAATATTCTGCCATTTTTAGATCATTGATTAGATTAAGCACGTATATACTTCATGGCAAATGTAACTTCTTGAAATCAATTTCTTCTTGTTCTGTAGATATTTCTGTTACCACTCTGGGGAAATAGCCTTGTACTTTGAGTCTAGAGGATTGAGGCTTAGAGACATCTGCAAAAAAGCTCTTTTGGTGCTTTCATTTTCTTTCTTCTTTCTCTTTCTTAAACCCCAATTGCAGTATGTTGCAAGTTATATTTCTATTTTTTAGCCTTACCAGCACTTTTTAAACAAGAGCTTCAGAATACCGAGGCAGAAGAAGGCGGTACAGCCATACTGAGGTGTGAGCTTACCAAACCCAAGTCTCCAGTAGAGTGGAGGAAAGGAGATACTACTCTCTACCCTGGTTTGAAATATGAGATGAAGCAACAGGGCTCCGCTGCTGAATTGTTCATTTATGACTTAGAACTGGATGATTCAGGAGAGTACAGCTGCGACTCTGGACATCAGCAGACGACGGCTGTGGTAACCGTACATGGTAGGCAGAGCACTGACCCTTGGCTCGGCAGAGATGAAGTGAAAGGAGCATCTCTCCATGTTCCCTACAGCCACTTACTTGTTTCGCTGCTGGTCCATGCCAGCAGACATATTCTACTTGAGCATGACACACGGTCAAGTTAGAAGGGCTCTGCTGGCAGTGTCTGAAGGGAATAATCAGCATCAAAGCAATTAAATGTTGCCATGATGTCAAAATATGAGGAACCCTCCTGCCCCCGAGTGCAGGGGGTGTGGCTGCAGAGGGAATGGATAAAAGAAAAAAAGCCAGGCAGGCTGACAGTTATTTTGAGTTGTTGATTGCTTCAGTAGGCATAAGGGATGCCTGATTGGATGTAACACCTGATAGGGATGATAAGAGATGCAACAATTGGTGGATAAAGCATTTCTATAACATGTGAATGTACTGTGTTATTTCTTGAGCTTTGAGCCTCAGGTGTGAACACTGAGTGCATCTGTTTTCCTCGGCCCCTCCTACCATCCTGAGCAAGATCTTGCCAGGAATCTGAATTGTCCCTTCCATTTATCACTCTATCGTCATCTCTTACTGTATTGCGTCGTCTTGTGTTTTGAATGCTAACTTGATCTTTTATATGTTGACGGAAGGTTTATTTGGGGGAAAAATACTCTTAGCTTAATAGTGCAAACTCACAGACCTCCGTTAGGGAACAAGGGTCCAAGTCCCCCTGTGTCCCAGTGGTCTTTGGCTAAAGCACCCCGAGTTGGTATGGACATACTTCTGTAGGAAAGTCTGAGTCTTTCAAACCACAAACCACACCACTCTGTGGACAACTCTCTAAGACCAGCTCTCACCATCTGTCCTCAGCTCTTGATTCACATCATGGCTCAAGAAACACACTACTGAGACAAAGTGTTGCAGCCTGAGGACTGTGGAATCATTAGAATAGGCAATTTCTAAAGAATGATGGTAAGACCGGGTCCTTTCTGGGCTAAAACGCTCTGAAAACATTTCCTTCTCGAATTTTGCAGCACTGCCTGTCACATTTAAGCAACCCCTTCAAAATAAGGAATCAGAGGAAGGAAGCACAGCTACATTCTGCTGTGAGCTGTCAAAACCCAATGCTGCAGTGGAATGGAGGAAAGGAGGAGTGGGGCTGCAGCCCAGCCAGAAGTATGAAATGAGGCAGAGGGAATGCCGGGTAGAGCTCTTAATACATAATCTCAGATTAGAAGATACAGGAGAATACAGCTGTGATACCGGGGATCAGGAAACCAAGGCATCTTTAAATGTGAAAGGTAGGTGGTGCGAGCTGACTCCTAAAGCGATATATTCCAGCCAACATGCAAAGCAACAGTTTGAATATGAATATTTTGAAGTACATTATTTTTTTCCTTATATTTTGCTTTCCATCTGATATGCTAGGGTTATTTTTATTATTATTTTTAAGTGAGAATGGAAGAGGATGATATTTTGTTCTTCCAGTGCTGAATTTGAGTCTTGGGTTCTCAGAAGAAATACTTTCTGGCTTTATGGCTGGGGAGAAATTAAAGAAAGAGCAATGCTTTAACATAACATCTGGACACTTCACATGATACGTAGCTTAAATATTTTTAAAAATAAATTCTTCCAAATTCTGGAAGAACACTGACAATGACCTTCCTGAGCTGTCAAGGCTATCCATGGAGTTTTCAACTTCTTTACTCTTGAGGTCTTTGTTAGATCAACTGAAGGATTAATTCATTCAGAGAATTCAACCCTGGGAAGGATTTGAGCCAAGGAACAAAGGAAATAAATGTTCTAAGTGCTGATGGCTGCTTCTGATGCAGCAAGATCTCCCAGTATCCCCAGGCAAATTAGAAAACATGGATCCTGCCTAGGAATATAGCACTTGCAAAGCACAGTATCTTCTTCCCTGAAGTGTCACTCTAACTGTGTTAACCAGAACTGGACTCAGGCTTCAATAAAAGTTCCTGTTCCTTCTTTTTTTTTTTTTTTTTTTTTTTTTTTTTCCCCCTTTAGCTCTGCCAATTCTTTTCAAAAAAGAGCTCAAGGACAAGGAGGCAGAAGAAGGAGCTGCGGTGAAATTCCAGTGTGAGCTGACAAAGGATAATGCAACAGTGGAATGGAGGAAAGGCACAATGGAGCTCTTCCCGTGTGCCAAATACGAAATTAAATTAAGTGGTCGCACAGCTGAACTCGTGATTCATAATATAGAACCAGAAGATGCCTCTGATTACACATGTGATACAGGAGACCAGCAGAGCACAGCAGTCCTCAGAGTGAATGGTTAGCATTGCATCAAAATGGAAGAGAGGATAAAAGGGATTTGTGAAATTGTGAATGATGTTCTTTTATTCATTGGTGGATAAGACTCCCCAAAAGTTAAGATAAAGAGGAAAGCAGTGCTCAGTCCTAAAGCAGAATGTAGAAATGTGGATCTTATGGGACAGGATTTGTAGAATGGCTATTTCAGCCTATAAAACACAGTGTACGGTCTATTGACCCCTTCCTCTGACACTGATAAGAGCACAAAACTTTGCATCGTGGAGATTTTGAAATTCTAATAGATCTTTATTTTTGGCACTTTGCATTCATTTCTGGCTCAGTTGAATCAACAACTGATCATAAGTCATTTACAAAAGCCCCTAAAAATTTTAATATTTTCAATTTTTGTAATGCCTTCCTATGAAGATCCTGAGAACGCTGTGTTTAAACGAGCCAGGAATAATGTCTGTAAATAATCACCCTCAGTGAAATGTTTTGTGGTCATCTCAAACTGTTGGGTGGAACTTGTGGCTTTGATCTAAGCCACAGCCTTTCACACTACATCCTCTTGGCTGAACCTGACCCATGAAGCCGCCGCTGGGTCAACTACAAGTGCGAGAGCCCTGTGCTTGCTTTACATGTATCACAATAGGGTTTAGACAGAGGAACCGCAAGCACTGAGATTCCTGTTTTCGCAATGGCTGACACACACACGATGGTTATTCCTGTCTTGTTTTCATCAGTGACAAGCTCTTGTCTGAGCTGGTCCATGCCCTGCTTGACTACTTGTAGTCCATTTGTTTGTGCATCATCTAGAAGGACTCACTGATGATGGTCTAGGGTCTTGAAAAGATAGCAGAGAAATCAGAAACGTGATTAAAGCTTTACATCATTTGCGGGGTTGGAAGTCATGAGTATTTCTGTTAAAATGAACAGATTTACACTGTTGGAGATTCCAATATCCAGAGCAGATGTATAAAAGGTGTAATGTGGATACCCTTGACTATGTGGGAAACAAACATATTTGGGGAACTTTCTAACTCTTTCCTTGTCTGGATATAGAGAATATAGGTCTGTTTATAGGGGGGGAAAGGGTTGTTATAATCATATAATCAATTAATGCAAATTTCTTCTGCAGCATCAAACCCCAGGTGCCTTGTGCTGAGTCGTGCAGACCTGGCATTCAAGCTCATGGATCATGTGTTAATTTTTCTCTTTGCAGCCGTCAAACCCCGGCTGAAGCAGCAGCTGAAGAATGAAGAAGTGGAAGTGGGAGGAACGGCCAGGCTGCGCTGTGAGATTTCCATTAGCAAAGCAGAAGTGGAGTGGAGGAAAGATGGAATCATCCTTCACTCAAGCTCCAAGTATGAAATGTGGCAGGACGGCACCCTCCGTGAGCTGCGGGTTCACCGCCTGGAGCCAAGCGATGCTGGAGAGTATTCCTGCAAGGCTGGAGATGAGATGAGCTCTGCAAAACTGACCGTGAAAGGCAAGACCTGTTTATTGGGGCAAGGGGATTTGCACTTTAGGATGCTAAGATTTTGCAATGTAATTACAATAGTTTATTACCATTGTAATAAACAGTTGGGATGAACCCTTGTGATAGAGCACAGGAAGGGTATCGTAAAAAAATCTTATGGTCAATGAATGCACTGAAGCAAAGATTCGCTTGGTGGACAGGACAGGATAAAGCAGCTGTGATTTGTGACTCATGGCTTGAAATATTTGCTTGACATCATATGCATGTGAGGGAACAGATGGTCCGTCCCCAGCTTCCAGTCACATGGCAGCTGCATCTGGCCTTCATAGCGCTGCAGACAGAGCTTGCTTTCAGGTTGGACCACTAGTGTGGAACAATCACCGCTGGCATCTCTACAGGCTACTCGATATTACAGATACTCTGTACATTATGCCCAGCTGCACTATTTTTTGTGCAGATGGTGACCTCAGCTGTATGAACATGTACTGTGTTTGCTCAGATGAAGATAGCACTGCTTCTCCTTCGGTGCGCCCCAGCAGATTCGGGGTCGATACAGCTTTTGCCTGTTGCAGTCTGTCTGTATGATCTTTGCACAGATCTGCAGGTGCCCAACTGTCTTAGAAGCAGGACTCAAGCAAACTGCAGTGCAAATGCCCTGTGCTTATGCTAATCCAGTAAGTCCTGCTGGGAGCACAGAGCCAACCAGATCCCCAGCCAGTTTGGAGCACCAGCACAAAGTATATGCAATTCTGTTTGCAAAAAGACAATAGAAGGGATCAGGTTTTAACATTATTCTATGAAGATATCGAAGTACAAACATAGTAGGTTCCAAGGTCCTGAATTTGGCATCTAGCATTCACGCCTTATTCACCCAATTACGTTATCAAACGTGTAATTAAAAAAAATAAAAATCAATACTTAATGTATTGCTGAGAAAGGACAAGGAATAAAACTACTAACTGAAAGATATTAGCCACGTTACCAAGTACACTGAAAATAGTGAACCGGCAGCATTTGAAATGTGATTTGAGAAGCTGTGATATCTCCATCCTCAGAGATAATTAAAGCTCAGCTGGACAAGGTGCTGAGCACCCTGCTATAAGCTGGCCCTGCTTTGAGCAGTGCTTGGACCAGATGACCTCCAGAAGTCCCCTCCAACCTTTATTATTCGGTGTTTCTATGATCTGATCCATGTTTTCTGTTTCATGGCTTAACTACTGACGGACTGTTTGCAGAGCCTGACGTGACCATCGTGAGTGGCCTAAAGGACATGGTGGTGTTTGAAGGGGATGATGTCACATTCCGGTGCCAGGTTTCTCATGAAAACGCAAGGGATGTTGAATGGAAGCTACAGGACGTTGCTTTGCAAAATAATGAAATGAATGAGATCTCCGTGGAAAAAGGAAAGATTCACACCCTGACGTTAAGGAAGGTGACTGAGCAGGACATTGGCACCATCACTTTCCGAGTGGGACCCCACACGTCGACAGCAGAGCTCACAGTAAAAGGTAAGGGCTCTCTGTGATGTGGGAAAGGAACAGGATGGGTGAGAACGGGTGACGTTTTCCTTATGCTAATAGTAAATTCGGGGCCATCATTCACCCCTTGTTCACTCATGTTAGTAGGGTCCCTGTGCTTCAGAGCATTCATAGAATCATCTAGGTTGGAAGGGACCTCTAAGATCATTGAGTCCAACCATCAACCGCCAAAGCCACCACTAAACCATGTCCCTAGACGTGCATAATGTGGTCTCATATACTGTCATCACTATGGATAGACAGTGTATGTCACTGAGGTCTTGAAGCTAACTGGTTTCTAGAGAAATTACTGGCGTAGCTCCAGTAGGCGGATTGACAGATCTGTAATTTTCATTGGTTCTCTTTTCCTTTTTTTTTTTTTTTTTTTTTTTTTTTCTTCTTTGGGGTCTTTCTTTCTCTAAACACTATTTTGAAGAAATTCTCGGTCAAACATCCTTCTCCTTCCCTCTTTGAAGCTGTTGGTCTGGTCAAAGATCCCATCCCACCTGAACAAGTTAAGACATCTGTAAAGCTTTTGATTAGTACTTCAGTAACTTCAACAACTATTTGGGAGTGGGTTTCATCCCAAATCCTTTCACTTATTTTAACTCCTCAATATATAAAATCACAGAATGGTTTGGGCTGCAAGGGACCTTCAGGATCACCTAGTTCCAACCCCCCTGCCATGGGCAGGGACCCCTCCCACCAGCCCAGGTTGCTCCAAGCCCCATCCAGCCTGGCCTTGAACACCTCCAGGGATGGGGCAGCCACAGCTTCTCTGGGCAACCTGGGCCAGGGGCTCACCACCCTCACAGGCAAGAATTTCTTCCTAATATGCTACTCTCTTTATGGCTCCCCTCCCTGATCAAGAGTCCCTCCCCAGCTTTCCTGTAGGCCCTTTAGGGTCTCCCTGGAGCCTTCTCTTCTCCAGGCTGAACAACGCCAACTCTCTCAGCCTGTCCTCACAGCAGAGGTGCTCCAGCCCTCTGATCATCTTCGTGGCTTCCTCTGGCCTCGCTCCAACAGGTCCGTGTCTTTCCTGTGCTGAGGGCTCCAGAGCTGGACGCAGCACTGCAGAGGGGTCTCACCAGAGCAAAGTAGAGGGGTAAAGCGCAAAAGTTAAAGTATTTTGTAATACCCAACTGTTCATGGTGACTGTAAATGCCTTTGCTGTGTTTGTAATTTCAGTGCCACCTCCAGTCTTTAAGGAGAAACTACAGAGCACAGAACTGCAGGAAGAAGAAACAGCCATCCTCCGCTGCGAGGTCTCCCAGCCTAATGCTGTGGTGGAGTGGAAGAAGGGTGCTCAGGTGATTTCCTCGAGCTCCAAGTATGAAATCAGGCAGGAGGGGACAATCCATACTTTAAAGATTTATCACTTAAAACCAGAAGACTCTGGCAAATACACCTGTGACAATGGAAATGAACAAACCACAGCCACTTTAACTGTTAAAGGTAGGTTGTTTTGTTTTATTTTTAAGATGAGAAACTTGTTGTACTTCCTTAACTTGCTTCTAGCAAGAGGATGCTATCTACTGTCCTTGACTTGTACTTTGCTGGTATAAAGCAGCTGAGTCCTTTTGCTTTCAGAAGTTATGTTAAGTCCCATGGTGTCCTGAGCAATCAACATGGAGGGATCCAAGTGTAGTAACTGCTTCCCCAATCCTAGACCCAAGGACCTCTTTCTGGTCACTCGGAAAACCAAGGCTGGAACTAAAATTAGAATGAGACTATTTTTTTTGCTTAACCATCCTTTGAGCTGCAGTTCCACAAGGGAAAATGGTACTCAAGAGTCAAATTCAAACTTACTTCTGCACTCAACTCCAGCTGATTGCCTGGAGAAGAGAAGGCTGAGGGGAGACCTTATGATGGCATACAAGTATCTAAAGGGTGGGTTGAAGGAGGATGGAGCCAGACTCTTTTCAGTGGTTCCCAGTGACAGGACGAGAGGCAATGGGCACAAGTTGGAACATAAGAAGTTCCATTCAAATACACGGAAAAACTTCTTTACGGTTCGGGTGACAGAGCAGTGGCACAGGCTGCCCAGGGAGGCTGTGGAGTCTCCTCCTCTGGAGGTTTTCAAGACCCACCTGGATGCAGTCCTGAGTAATGTGCTCTGGGCAATCCTGCTTTAGCAGGGGAGTTGGACTAGACGGTCTCTAGAGGTCCCTTCCAACTCTGAAGATTCCGTGATTCCATGATACCTAAATACTTCTATGGCCTAGGGTCTTAAAAAGAGGTGTAATATGCCAATATATATATTTAAATCTACTCTGCTACAAATACAATATTAAGGTGACTTTTTCTGAGATAGAAGGTCAGCAAAAGTAAAGAGGAGCCAGGATGTTCTTCCAAAATGGCATCTTTTGGAATATCTCTTGAGGGCTCTCCCATGAAGGGCACATGCCTGCCTGCTATCACGCTAACTTCAGGATGCAGTGATACCAGAATATTTGTACTGTAAGCAGATCCTCTGATGGTGGCTGTCCGTTTGTGTCTCTATCTGTGGTCCCAGCCACTCCAGCAGTCTTTGAACAAAAACTCCGAAACCAGGAAGCCGAGGAAGGCTCTACAGTCACCCTTCATGCCGAGCTCTCCAAACACGATGCACCAGTGAGGTGGAAAAAAGGGTCAGTCTTGCTCCAAGCCAGCAAGAAGTATGAGATGAAGCAGATGGGCTCTGCTGTGGAGTTACTCATCCACGATCTACAGCTGAAGGATGCTGGAGACTACATCTGTGATTCTGGCGATGAGCAAACTATGGCATCCTTGGTAGTGAAAGGTGACAAAAAGTTTTCACTTCACCTTTTAGGGAGCTCTAGGTTAGTTTAGATGTTCCATATGCAAGATTTGGGGACACTGTGGCAGAGAGTCTGGTCCTTTTTTGTGATAAGGATTTCTGAATCAACAGTGACGCAGTCTGACAGAGTAGGTCTTCGCAAAGACTTTATTTGTGTCTCCTCCTTACTCTTTTGCTAGCTCTTAAGAGCCTGAGGGCTGCAGGACTTAACGGCACAAGGGATGCCCTCACTGCAAATGCAACTGTACAAAAACCTTGAACCCAGCCATTGCCCAGCCGTCCCGCAGAATACATCATCCATTTCTGCATCACTTGCAAGCACCTTCAGATCTCTCTCCTCTTACATTCATTTGCTACCTGGTTCCTGTGAATTCATTGTCATTTATAAACTCCATCTCCTTCCCTCATAAATACCAATGCAGACGTAACTGTGGAGCCACCAAGGGAACGGGACTTGAGGATCTAAAATTCTACACGTGGTGCATTGTAAATCAACCCACCAAAACTCCATCTTGACCCGTCAGTGATACACATCAGTGCAGAGACTTCCAGAGTTCATCCCTCTTCTGGGCACAGTTTTCAAATGAGGGGCGTTGTATAATGATCTTTCTCCACACACCCTCCCAAATACCCAAGAACAGAGACGTCGGGTGTAGGTTTTTGAGTTGTGGCTTTGGTACCCATTTGGAGATACATGCACTTAAATGCTCAAGAGTCCTTATCCATGACCTCTCTGTGTAAGAAGGAATGCATTCCTTGAGGTGCTCAGTGTGTACGGTGCCCAGTGACTCTTGGGGAGTGCAGGGTGCTCAGTGCGCTTGGAAATCCAGCTCTGTCTGTTATTGCTTGTTTGGGTTTTAAAGTAATTTTGGAATTGAGTTGTAACCAAGTTTGGAATGGCACCACGGTTTCACTAAACACAAGATTTAGTGACAGAGTCAGCAATGAAACATTTTTTTTCCCTCTGATTTATCTTGGTTTAGCTTTGCCAGTAATCTTCACACAACCACTCCAGAACCAGCAAGCCGAAGAAGGCGGCACCATCACTTTGAGCTGTGAAATCTCAAAACCAAATGCCACTGTGCAGTGGAAGAAGGCCGGGACAGTGCTGCGACCAAGTGACAAATACAAGATGCGTCAAGCTGGATCTGTGGCCGAGCTGACAATTCGCAACCTGAGCCAAGCTGATGCTGGGGACTACGTGTGCGACACAGGGGACCAGCAAACCACTGCAGCTGTGCTGGTGAAAGGTGGGGCTTTGCGTGGGGAAGAGCCGAACAGAGCGTGGTACCGTGGCAGGGGCACATGATTAAGTAATTTGACAGTTAGACGTTGCCCCATGCCCAAACTGAATCATGGAGATGTCAGAGACGAGAGGGATTTCAGAGGGATAAGAACTGGGTCCGTTATCCCTAGGGAATCAGAGATGGGTCTTTAGTCAATGTTTCTGTGGTTTAATGTTAATGTCACCCACTAAAAGCTGTTGACAATATTTTAACAGCACATGGATTGCATTATAAATATATTTTATATATTTATTATACACACAATACAGTGTAACATGCATACTTTATAGACTATCATATATATGTGCATAATTATATGTGCACATACACGTTATGCATCTGTAAGAATGTGAGATGTTACTACATCCCCATGTAACTGTGTTTCCACGCATTTAGTGCTTGGTGGTCATTCTTTCAAATAATATAGTACTGCCAAGAAAGAGCATAACGAAATGTTTAACCCAGGAAGCATCACTTGAAAGTAGATATCAAACTCTGTTGACCTTTCCATAAAGAACCGGCAGCCACTATAGTGGAGACGCTGAAGGACGTCACTTCGTACGAAGGAGAAGACGCAGTGTTTGAATGCAGGCTGTCCCGGGAAACAACTCAGGATGCCCAGTGGTTCCTGGGGGATGTTCCCCTGCAATCCAATGAAATGAATGAGATCAGAGTCCAAGGGACGCGTCACACTTTGATCCTGAGGAAGGTGACACTAGAAGACTGCGGGCCCATCAGTTTCAAAGTCGGGCAGCATACCTCAGCCGCACAGCTAACGGTCCAAGGTGAGCCACCTCCCAGGAAGAGGGATTGAGGAGGTACTGGTAAGCACTCTCAACAGTGCTTTAGCTTCGGGAGTGGTGTATTTGGGAGGAGGGGTCCTTGGAAATTTTGGGAGATTCTGCTAACCTAATTTAGGCATTTAAGAGTTCAATATGTGCATCTGAGCTAGTTGTTTCAGTCCTTTTGATAGTCCACAGAATGATGCAAACATCCTTTGAAGACCATCCAACTTATCCTGAAACAAGCAGCTAAGATATGTCAGAATCTGTGCTGAAGAGTGTCAAGAATGTGCACTGAATTAATCTCCTACTTATGATGTTTTTAGATCATATTTACTCCCAAGACTAACCAAAAACTCTGAAAAACCTTTCCATTAAGTTGTATAGAATGAGTATCTGAAGGGTGCCTACAAGAAAGCTGGAGAGGGACTTTTTCCAAGGGCATGTAGTGATAGGATGGGGCATAATGGCTTCAAACTGGAAGAGGTAAGATTTAGATTAGGTATTAGGAAGAAATTTTTCACTCTGCGGGTGGTGAGACACTGGTACAGGTTGCCCAGGGGAGTTGTAGGCGCCCCATCCCTGGAAGTGTTCAAGGCCAGGTTGGATGGGGCTTTGAGCAACCTGGGCTGGTGGGAGGTGTCCCTTCCCATGGCAGGGGGTTGGAACTCGATGATCTTCAAGGTCCCTTCCAACCCAAACCATTCTATGATTTTGAAAGATAGGCCATGTCAATACCTTACCTTATTCGTTCCTCTTTGGTCTGGTTCAAAATATAACTACAGGCACCCAGTTCTGATCTGGGGGCAATGCTGGATTAGGCGGTTGCAGCAGTGTTGGTACCCTCTTCCCCACAGTTGCTCCAGTCACCTTTGTCAAAGCACTCCACAGCTTGGAGCTTCAGGAAGGTGGCACGGCTCACTTGTCCTGTGAGGTCTCCAAGCCCCATGTCCCAGTGGAGTGGAAGAAAGGCACGTCCATGATCCGCTCCAGCCAGAAATGCAACATCAAGCAGGAGGGGAACGTCCACACGCTGGTCATCCACGATTTGAACCGTGCAGACTCAGGGGAGTATAGCTGCCACACAGCTGATGGGAAGACCACTGCCAGACTAGAGGTTAAAGGTAGGATTTCCTCTTTGCTCAGCAGTGGTGAGATGTGTGCATGTCAATTTTTGGAGCTCTCTAGTAGAGGACAGACACTGAGGTGGTGGAGTAAGTGCCACCAAGTTTGTCAGGGGGCTGAAGCACACGAAGTGTAAGGAGAAGCTGGGTTTGTTCAGCCAGGGGAAGAGAAGATTGGGCGGGGGACACACCTCATCTCTGTCTCCAGCTTCCTAATGGGGGACTACCGAGGAGAGAGAAAGAGAGAGACCTTCCTTGGGGTGCTCAGGAAACAGAAGCAACAAGTGCAGGCTGCAGCAAGAGAAATCCAGATAAGGGAAAAAAACACCTTTCACGATGAAAGGGCGGTTGGACACTGGAACCAGGACCCAGAGAGGTGGAGGAATCTCCATCTGTGGAGGACCTCCAGAGGTCCCTTCAGCCTTAATTATTCTGTGATTGACGCCCGGCTGCATGTTCTGAAGCTGGGTCTGCAGGTCTATATTCTTAGAGTGTTTTTACGGTGTTCCATGGTTTCATTTTGGGGGTGAAAAGCCATCTGGGCTTATTACTGAAGTTAGCTGAGAATTCTTTGTGAGAGGAAGTCTAGGATATGGGGAGGGAAATGCAACTCCTGTAGAACTGAAATTTTCCCTCCTGGTTAGCTTGTCACCCTCTTCCTCCTCCTCTGTCTGACTTAGACTGAGGCATCCCTGCCCCTGACAGCTCTCCTTAGGTAAATGCAGCTGGAATTGTGCTTGAACTTCATGAATGGCATTATCAGTACCTTAAAAAGAAAACATTCCTCCGTTTTCTATTTTTGCATCACCTTTTTTTTTCTTTCTTTTCTTTTCTTTGCACCATTGCCCCTTTCAAGCCCTGCCCGTGCTTTTCAAACACTGGCTGAAAAACAAGGAGGTGGAGGAAGGGGGCACAGCTGTGCTGCAGTGCGAGCTGACGAAACCCGACGCACCCGTGGAGTGGAGGAAAGGAGACAGGGTGCTGCAGCCCAGTGACAAGTACGAGATCCGGCAAGAGGGGACACGTGTTGAGCTCTTCATCTACGACGCTGAGGCTCAGGATGCTGGTGATTACACATGCGACTCGGGGGATCAGCAGACCACTGCATCCTTGCAAGTCAAAGGTAGGAGAAGCCTTGCTTGAAGTTGGGATTGTTCAGCCTGGAGAAAAGGAGGCTGAGGGGAGACCTTATTGCTCTCTACAACTACCTGAAAGGAGGATGTAGAGAGGTGGGCGCTGGTCTCTTCTCACAGCTTACAACCCATAGGACAAGAGGAAAAGGCCTCAAGTTGCATCAGAGGAGGTTTAGGTTAGACATTAGGAAAAACTTCTACATTGAAAGGGCTATCAAAGACTGGAACAGGCTGCCCAGGGAAGTGGTTGAATCGCCATCCTTGGATGTATTTAAAAGCCTGGATACAGTGCTCAGGGACGTGGTTTAGAAGTGGGCCCAGTAGAGTTTAGATAATGGTTGGACTTGATGATCTTAAAGGTCTTTTTCAGCCTTAACGATTCTATGATTCTAAGGCAGAGAAGTTATGGCTGTGGCCATCCTCTAAGGGGACGATATGGATGTTTTACCACTGAATTATGATTAACACTCTGTATCTGTGAATTACAACTGCAGGAAAGAGTTTGATCCGCAGCCTCTTCTTCAGAGAAGAATTTAATGCCTTTTAAATTCTGTTCTATTTCTGCGGTTGCAATTTTGATCCCGCTGTGAGGGCTGGGAGCAAAACTGCAGCTGCTGCTAACGGAGGGTATGTACAAGAGCAGTTAGAAAACTTGCCTGCTGCCTGACAATAAGGGACTGCAGTATTTCACCGTACCTACAACAGGCCCATTTTAAATTGAGCCGTTATACCTATTTGTGCCTGAGCAGCCCAAGAATTGTGGCGCTCTGCCTTTTTCTAGTGCCTACGTTTTGGCATCTTATAGTTTTATTCATTCTATACTAAGAGCACTGTGTCTTTTGACTTGAGCAACAAGATCATGCTTTTAGATCCTGAGTTTAGCCCCCATAAACGGTGTTCAGCTCGGAGGGTTTGGTTTCAGCGACAAAATGTCCAACGGCTGTGATTGGTCCTCTAACTGCTGACACTGGAAATGATGGGTATGCCCCCGTGAAGCCCTTTAGAGGTCCTGCGACCTATAGCAATCCTTTATGGAGCAGCGGTGGACACCCTCGCTGTAGCAGCAGCTGATCCCTATGAGTGGCTATGGCACAACTCAAAGTCCTGCTCTGGGCTTGACATTGCCAGCAGGCAAGCTGGGGTTCCGAAAGAGGGGAACGGCCAAGCCAGAGAAGTTGCCAGTAAGTTTCCTACCTCTGAGGACTGTCACTGATACGGTTGCTTCTCCGCCGCAGTACTACCCGTGCTGTTTAAAGAAGAGCTGAAAAACGTAGAGTCTGAAGAAGGGGGAACAGCTGTCTTGCACTGCGAGATCTCCAAGCCGGACACCCCCGTTGAGTGGAGAAAAGGAGGGGTGGTCATTCAGCCCAGTGATAAGTACGAGATGAAGCTGAAAGGCAGCGTTGCTGAGCTCATCATCCACGGTGTAGAGCCTGATGACTGCGGGGATTATACCTGTAGCACTGGATACGAGATCACCACAGGTTCTGTGTATGTGCAAGGTAAGGTGAAGTGTGGTGGAAATGCTCTGATTTTGCTACCTGGATTTATTATTCCAAAATCGTTGACGGTAACTTGTCAATGGCTAAAATTGTCTCAGGTGCAAAGAGTTGAAAGTCCATTCATTTCTTTCCTGATTGCAGTGAAGATATAAACATTTACATCCAGGCTGAGGTTGGGCCAATGTTTATAAATTAAGGTAGTTCAAAGTATTGACCGTACTGTGTACTGTAGCAGATGGTGGTACGGCTGAAAAAGTATTTGCTTGGAGCAGTTGTCGTAAAAAAAACAAAACAAACAAAAAAAAAACCAACACCCCCCCCCCCCCCCGAAATTCTTGTTATTATTGATCACAGCCTCTATCATTGTTGTTATTCTTATTACTCTTTTAAAGCACTGTAAGTAAACGTTTAAATTGAGCTACCTCTCTGCCTCCCACCTCATACAATGTCAGTGCAGATGGTTGCAACACGCAGGAGAGCCCATCGCGACCTGATCATGGAGGAGAGTTTCCTCCCACTGAGACAGTGTTGGCAGACACACACACTGCGCTTGCAGGCAGGCGAAGGATGGAAGGTGGTTTCTAAATCCTTTACAGAAAATTTAAGCTCTTTTTTTTCTCTGGAACAGCATTACAAGTTTAAGTCTCCTGGACAACTTGCACTGTTGCTTGGGCTAGTTCTGCAGAAAGCGGAGTGTATGTGTTTATGCTTTTGTTTTCCTTTGGCACCTTCTCTTGCTCTGTTATACAGAAGAAGCAGCAGTCATAGTTTCTGGTTTAAAGAACACAGACGTCTTTGTGGGTGAGTCAGCCACGTTCACCTGCGAGCTCTCGTACCCGGGCGTGAAGAACGTGCAGTGGTGGCTCGATGGATCTCCCCTTCACAACAACTTTGTGACTGAAATCTCTGAGCAGGACGGGATGATCCACACTTTAACCCTAAATGACGTGGCGTGCCATGACTCAGGCACTGTCACCTTCAGAGCTGGGTCCCTTATATCTACAGCTAAATTATTAGTCAAAGGTATTTCGTTGTTAGAAAGAAACACACGGCCACCTCTGGACTTGCTCAGTGCGCTAGTGCTTCTGCCTTCCAGGCTACCCTTACTAAATCCCTTCACACTTCTTCTGTGTCCTGCAACCCTTCACTTCTGCAAGTCACCCATATTCACGTCAGAAGGCTTGTAGGTACAACCGCATTGATTTTATTTTATTTTTTTTTTGAGTGGTTCAGGTGAAGAAAGG